GTTCTCATCCGTCAAGTCACCAATCGAGGGTTGTTGCTCTGCAGAGTTTTCTCTACAATAAACGCTGCACCCACCCAGATATGTCCCATCCTGACCTCGTCGAGTGTGACAGTTTTGACAAAACCATCTCGCTCCAGTTGAGCAACCAGCATTTGCATGGCCTTGCGCTCTATATCCTTACATGGGTAGGGATCTCTCCTGGCTGGTAGGACCGCCGTAGCCTTCATTTCAACATAGACCTGGGGCCATTTCCAGGTTTTGAGCCTGTCACGGATGGTTTCATTGTCTGGAATTGATAAGCCCGCGGTGTTATCGTGATCAGCTCTCGTCGACTCCTCGTCCGAGCAGGGAGCAGCGCTAACAGGCATATCATTTTCACGAGCATCCTCACCCGTAGGGAACAACGGCCATACAACACCCAACTCGTGGGCAGTCAGAGCATCGCGCCCCACATCGATACTGGCCCGCATGCGCGTTAGAGTGCCAACACCAAGTAAGACAGTCGCCTCGCGGAGAGACTCGTGTAAGAGCTCACCGTCAACCAGATATACATGCAGTGTCACCGTGCTGCGATTCCCTGATTCTCCTTGAACTGACGCGGTGAGTCGTCCTCTTTCAGACAGACGTAAAGATGCTGAAGAGCTGAGAGAGCCGATAACAATAGGGTCTTCCAAAGGCTCGCGATGTGACACTCGACACCTTTTGGCCGCTTGTCGGGACATGATCGTGTAGTCTGCACCAGTATCTACCACGAGTCGGATATTGGTGCCTCCGGCAATGGCCTTCAGATGACGCAAACTAGAGCCTTTCGAGAAGAAGATTTTACCATCTCCTTTGTCATCGACACCGTCTGTCTTAGCCTTCAGCCGAGGCTTATACCAGGCCGGGACGATAGCAGAGTTAGCAGGGTCCTTCCAACAGGTTTCTCGCGTATGTTTGACCGCGCCCTTAATCTTGTGGTCTGAGCAGTATCCGCACGAACTAGAGGATTTACCCGCCGCCGTTCCTGGGGTCTCCACACACCGCTCCTGTGTTGTGGTGCTCTTAGGGTGGTCCTTCCGGGTGACATTCTGGTCCACAGAGCCACGACGGTCCTTGTTCTCAATGTAGATAGCTGCTTCTCTTACCTCCTCCAACGTGAGTGAGCTCAGCCGATGCATGTATACACTCTCCAGGCTGGTTCTTAGTTCTCTTCTTAGGCCTCCCAAGAATCTGGCGGCAATCAGCTCTGGGGTTAGGATCATCCCAGTGACCGTACGGAAGAGTTGTGCCTCACTGCGTAGACGACGACAGAAATCGTTCACGTTCTCACCGGATCGCATATATAGACGTTCCCAACGCGTGGCTACTCCTGAAGGTGTGTCTAATGCAGAGTAACGCTTATCCAACGCGGACCAAATCGCTGTCAACGAGGCGTCAGCTCCACCGATGTCAGTCATTATGTCCAAACCAAGGCCAGGGGACAGGTTTCTGAAAAGATAAACCACCATTTCATCTTCGTTCAGCTTATAGAATTTCATGGCGGTAACCAGTGCCGTGCGGAACATCGTATACGGTAAGGTGTTGGATGGACCATCAAACGGCGAAGACACCTGTAGGGGCAACTTGTGGGGGTCGTTCTTGACCTTGCTCAACTTTTGTCTCTCGGTTGGAACATCCTCAACGTGCCGCTCGTTCTTCCTGTCAGCAGCTTCACGGCGTTTTAAGACAAACACCACCCTGTCCTCGTGCGTCTTCGCTGAGCCTAACCCAGCTATCCGATGAAGACGTAGGGTCTTTTTCACAGCCGATGTCGCTACCGCCGCGCTTACTAGGGTCGCCATCTCGAGGTCAACGTCGGCCACTTCAGCTCCATAAAGAAGATACTTGAACACGCCCTGAGCGGTCATGCTCGGGTCTTCACCCACAGGCACAGATCCGGAGGAACTCTTCAGTCTTTCCTGGACAAGAGCACTCCATCTGGCTAGCCAAGAGCGAACGTTTGTGTTCGGGTCCTTCAGAGCTTCGAAACCGGTGACAGTCTCATCAATGAAAGTATCATCATTCGGCTTGTCGAGGTTGTCCCAGTCGAGGGTAGCCAAGACATCACGATACGCGGGGGCCTCGGGGAAGTTGTCGGCCAGCTTTCTAATTTCTGTCATCCGCGACTCTGAACTCAAGTCTGAAGTTTCCAATGTAGGTTGATGGGCTGTAAAGTAAGGTCCAATACCGCTCATTAGAAAGCGTGTGACAAGGACTACAACAGTCAATACGGCTTGATAGCTCTATCGAAATATGGAGACAGGCGAATAGGAGTTCTCATCCTAAAGCCGTCTCGTCTCAAAGAAAAATAATCGATGGCGTACGCGCGTTTTACGACGCCGACTCGCGTCCCACGCGTCACCATCTATAGCGTAAACCCGCTATGGAAAAATGGGGTGGTGAGAAATGAGGAAAGTCATGGGTCAGGGTGACACTACTGGTTGGCATGCGATCCAATCCGCGAGAGAGGTAGACATGGGAAAAGGCCTCACAAATAGGAAGGGAGAGTTTCTCGAAATGAAAGACATGAAGACATCTCCCTGTTGTTGGAACACGTGGCTGCTGCCTTTGAGATATCGTAACTCGGCGTCACTTACTCATCAATAATGACACAGGTGTATTGTGTTTCTCACCAGTTTACTTGCACAATAAGAGGCGTAGAGTCGGAGTACTGACTAGTTGTTTGAACGGGGAGCAACCCGCGTGTTCCATGCTCATGCTGGAATCGTGGAGGAACTTCATGTTGGAATAATGTTAATTGACCATACTGTATGCTTGAACAGTGGAATGAACGTCCTAAGCCGTTGATACTAAGCACTTTGAAGGTTTGAATAACTGAGACAGAGATTACATGTCTGTACTGATCACAACATTGTGTATACATGCTGTAGGTGTATCTACTCTCGGTCACAGCGTTGGAAAGGAGTTCCAATGGTGTCACAGCAGATGAAAAACTCCTGCTGTAGATGGCCCATGACTGCGACACAGTAACTGCGTATTGGTCGATGAGTTCCTCGGTCTCCTCGGTCGTGTACTACTCCATCGTGCTGCTCCCAATCTGCGCAGATGCCGCCAAGATATGCGTTTCGACAGGTGTCGCTCGACTCAGGTCAATCATCAAATACCTCGTCATCAAAGTCATCAGTTAACATATATTCGTCACAATCTTGGACACTCGGTTGCGTACCTATGTGGATACCTATGCGTATGTGATCAATATGAATCATCGGTGAATGTCATTGGTTATGATGACATCCTGGGGCGGTATGCGGATACTGATTCGAGAATCACAGGCACTGATTCAACTCACTATCTGATTTCCGATTTTGATTCAACTCACACCATGATTCACAAGTGTTGATTCAAATTTCGTATTCGTGAGTATGATTACTGATTCCAGATTCAGATTCAGGATTCGCGAGTACGATTCCTGATTCCTGATTTTTCTCAAGCGTTGATTTTGATTCTTGATTCAGAACCATGATTCTTGATTCAGAATCATACTCAGCCACTGATTCTCATTGTGAATCAATGAGTCAGAGTATTTACTCAACCCAGTGAGTATGAATCATGATTCTAGATTTTTTCAACGTGATTATGACTCAAAACTCATACTCGTGAGTATTTTACTCAACTCGAGAACGCCACAGACTCAGAATCAGATTTTTACTCAGCAATGCTTAGTCAGCATGTGATTCCGAATCATACTCACGCCGTGAGTATCTCCATTTTTCCACGTTATTTTACCTTGATTCGTACCAGGGGTCCGGACCCCCGGTACCAAACCCTGATTCTGATTCTCGACCTTGATTCGCAACTTCAGCGAGTGCCACGGTAAACCTCCTCTGCTGCTTGCGAGCAGGTTCTTAGAATAACCGTGCCGGGGGATGGAACCTCGGCTTCGATCTAGTGCAAGTGTATCCTTGACCAGTCGAGCTGTGAGATTATACAATATAAGACGGTGCAAGGAGGTATAGCGCACGTAGTGCATACAGGCTATCAGTATGACCCTGCCGGGGAATAGAACCCCTATTTCGAGCACGTGGAAGCTCACCCTTAACCAGTTCAGCTATGAGATCATATGATACAAAACTGAAGATGGAGGTTTGGCGCACGTAGTACATGCAACCATACGGTGTGAATTACGCATTCCTTAATTCAATTAATTATTCAATGAAGGTCCATTTATGGGGCTAGTTCAAGGACGAATGTATTGAGATTTACTCTTAGATGGGAACGAGCTCAGAGACCTCCTCGTGGTGTTCCTGGAAACTCAACTATAATGTTTTATTTTTGAGGCTAACATCTGAGCATTCGATTGTTTCCTCTCTGTTTCCTTGTACAATTTGTTATTGCTTTGTTGGTTTGCTTCTCGTTCTGTCACGCCTCTAAATCCTTGTTATTTTAGTCCAACTGAATGGGTCCGATTATGGTATTGGTCCGACATACGTATGTATGATAAGTTATGCACATGTATGTTCTGTTTACTGTTCATTTGAAGTTGCCTTGTGTTCCGGTAGTGGTTGGTTAGTCACCTGTTTGGTGCACTAATGGATGTGTCCCCGTGTTGGGGGAGTTTGCTCGGTGTTGAACGAGTTGAACGAGTATGCGGTCGACAGTTGTCGGAATCCATGTGTGGTTGGATGGTCGATCCCTAATTAGGGGTAAATGTGTTGTGTTGTGGATAAAGGGTACCATTGTCAAGTCGGTCGATTCGGGTGGTGCGACGCTAGATTTGTGTAAACTACTAGCCTTTCGCGTACTAAGTAATCGTGATGATTTTTAATCACATACATGTTTATCATAAGTGTTATTATTCTTTCGCTTTACTGCTCGTTTATTTTGTTTGATTCATCTTCATGGCGATTTCGAGTTCCAGCCGCCTCTGAGTGGCGTTATGATTGAATTGCCCTCGTATTTTGTTTATCCTTCGTCTTCAGGTTCCTTTTCTTTTGTTTTAAAATATAGATGAACCGTTGTTGATGTCGACGTTTTCAACTGCTCCAGATCTGTCTGGGACCATAGTTGAGACATTAGCTCAACCACCCTTTTCGGTTGACTCTTTGAGAACGTTGAAGGCAGCGGTTGATGATGCCGAGTTGTTGGGAGAAATGGTAGTTGCTTGTGCTGTCGCTATGGGTGCTGTATTGGATGATGATGCCGAACAGCCTCAGGCTGATATTATCGCTGTGAGACTGAGAAGAGCAAGACTCAGAGCTGCGTTGATTGTCGCTGCTTCTCAAAAAGAGGATGTGGTAAAGGCGAAGTTCTTTGTGGATGCGATACTCGTGTCAGCTGCACAGTTATTTGGTTGTTTACCCAATAATGAACTGGTTCCTTTTCCGCATGTTGCGGAGGTCTTGTCTCGAGATAGATATTCATTTATTGAATTTAAGACTTATCCTGAGATCACCGCGGCGACCAGCAAGTCTGTTATTATAACAGTGTTATACAGTTTACTCTAGATGGTCAAGCTTTGGAGACTGCGAAACTTTCCACGGGGAAACCTCCTAATACCTTTGAGCAATGGCTTCCATTGATGTTGCGGTGGGCCTTCACTATATATGTTCTTGAGGGTAAGGGTGACTTGATACATGTCTGTGAGTAATACTCACTGAGTATGCTGCGAGGTTTGCTCCGATATCTTATAAACAGGTTTTTGGTAAAGCACAGTTGTTTGATCGACGTTATCGTCAGCGAATGATGTTATGCATGAGACTGTTGCAATCTTCTCCCGTTCATGATGAGGTCAAGATGGAAGATCATCAGGCATCCTCTATCTTTTTGGCTAGAGTCTAGAGCCTGAGGGTCTTGCAGAGGTGTGTTCGGATGCTTCCCCGATGTTCTGGAAACCGAATGCACCTGGAGCGAGAAATATGTCAAAAGTGGTGTGGGAAGGTACATGCAGGTTTACCAAAGGAGAGTGCTCCTTGTAAAGATTGCAAGTTTGCTGAGCATTCACCGCCTACTACTCAGCAAAGGGATGCTAATATGGATAAAAGAGCTATTAACAATCAGGGGCAGGGCCCGAGAGATAATATGGCAGCTAAACGATAGCCGGTTGTGGATGTAATACATCCGATGTATGTCCGATACTTGATAGTATTAAGTTGATACGGGTATCTTGTGTGAGGTTGGAAGTTTGTTTCTGTGAGTGTTCTTTTAACTAGGATATAATCCGATGTTAGTAGTTGATACTCGGTGTGTCGAATGGGAAACGGATTTCCCGTCATCAACAGAATATAATTTGAAAGTAATTTGTTGCGTTTGTTTGTTGTGTTGAATAAGTGTTGAAATATTTTGCATCAAAGTAGATGTTCTCCAAGCCTGCTGAGTGGGCTTCTCATCAAGCTAGGGCGGAAACGGAAGAGGGGAGAAAGAATCTCCTTGATTTCCTAGAGCTTTATATATCAGCAGAAAGAAAAAAAGGGTTATGAATCTGCGTATAAATAATACAAATTCATGGATTCGCATTGGCTGGTTTGAAGTTACGTTTGTGAGGGGTTTAGTGGAATCAATAAATTTGCAGTACACAACGATATCGAAATACACATCGGGATTGAAGACACTCAACCAGTTACATGGTTTCGGTGATATTTCGACATCGGATGTCATCCGACGGATGAGAAGCTGGTAGCTCGGACGCTGCAATCGGCGCGTAGGATAAAACCTCAGATGAAAAAGAGGCAAGCTCCGTCGATACCGGTAAAGTAGCGGGAAGTTTGTTCAAATTACCGGTTGGTGCGTTAAGAACGGTGGAACTTGAACAAACCAAGGATGCTATCCTTATGGGCATTTCCTTAGCTCTACGACCTGGAGAGTTGTTGGAAATTCGAGCAAAGGATATCAAAGTTATTGATGGTGCATCTAAAGGATCGATAGGTATGACTATAGAGATTGAGTTGGGTGTTACCGAAATGGGTTCCTCTGAGACTATAGTGCGTGATTGTGGACATTTCAAGGATCAGCGTATGCATAGAGGATTATGTTGTGTGGTGCACCGTATGGCAAAGGTTGTTGTAAGTGTACCAGCATGCTTGAGAATATTTAATAAGATCTACTAGAAGTTGCCGACGAATGCGCGACAACTTGGTATGGAACTGTCGAAGCGTTTTGATTT